GAACATTCCTTTTAATTAAAATGGCTGATGGTGTTATTTTTTAATTTTTAAAAACATTCCTTTTACTTAAACTTTCAAAATTCTCCTTCAGAAGCATTGTATAAATTTACATATAGTATTTTCACTAAAATGATCAAACAAATGCTGGATGATAGAACCAATTAAAGGGCAATTTTTTGTGACTTCTCCTTAGATGCTTAGGATTTTTTCTATTCTTTTGTTGGGTCTTTGATAATCTTGCAAGTTTGCTCTTTGGAAGAAAGGGATGCTAACTGCATTTTTCTTTCTCTTTTCTTTCTTTCTTTTTCCCCTCTTCTTCATGCATGGTTCATTAAGACAAAGGAGCAAGTAGCTATAGTTGATTCTTCCCCTGCCAACAATCTAGCACTTTATCTTGCAGTCTTGGAATTTTGTCATTGGACTTTTTTTGTTTAAATGATTTTCTTATATTCTTAAAAATAAACTAATTAAAATCTATTTGAAAACATTGATTTTAATTAGTTCATTTTGGTTATATTCATAATGCATACCAATATAAAACACATTTATTATCTGCATAATGCATATGCTAAAATGTGAGCAACTAAAAGCACATATATTAACAGTCAGCAACATAATTTGCAGAAGAACACATTTAAGATAAAAGAATTAAAGATCATTTGTCTCTTTATCTTAATTTATTTTTCTTGATTTATTTCCGTGAATATGCAAATTTTGTTCTTATGAATATGGAAAATAATTTCAACCTGCCATTTCTGTTTTTTATGCAAATGCATTGCCAATTATACTACCTGGATAACTGTCTGATGTTTGCTTCCAGAGCTGTTAATAACTCTGGAAACCACCAATTCTTTTCTTTCTGAAAATGGCTTCATACAGTGAACTGCAAATATGTAAAATGTATATATAAAGAATGCACAAATACCAGCTTCTGCTGTATAACTTCTCCTATTTTATATAAAAGGCTTCATACACTGCAATATTTGTATTCTCTTTGATATTTTTATGATGGAGTAGAAGTAAACATTTCCAAAAGTTTTCGATGAAAACTGATAGTATAGTGAAATAGTGTACTGTATTTACTCAAGTGTAAGATGCACTTTTTCAGGTCATTATCTTCAAAAATAGTGTGACTTACAAATAGGGTCTCATTTCCCGGTCCTTTGCTTATCCCGGGATTTCAGGGGAAATGTGAACCGTTTCCTGGGATCCCGGGAAATTTCAGGATATAATTAATTATTTTTAATATATAAAAAATATCTTGAAATTGAATGATATAATTATTTTTCATTTTTTAAAGTAATTTAGTATGTTCTGTAACCTCCAAAATCATATTAATTCTGTATAAAATATATATTAAAAATTACCTTTAAATTACATAGAAATTTTCACAAATAGAAGAGAAAGTTTATTAAAGTTTGTTAGAAATTGCTTACAATAAAAATGCCTTTGAATTGAGTTGAAAATTTAAAGAAAAAAATGAACTTATAACTTAGAAGGTAATTTTAATTTTTTAAATAAAACATGATATAATAAAAATTTACAATAATATTTTGTAAGATTTTAAAAAGCAATGATGGTTGATACTCCAAACACTCAATCTGATTCTTATTTTAGTAATGAAAAGTCCTGATACCGAGAATTGCCTTTCCGACTCAATTGATATTGGTGGAATTGTCTTTAATACATTTAAGAGAAGATAGATGTTATGTATTTTTTCAGCTGTAGCCTGGAAGGTTTTGAGTTTGTTTTCGAGATGCATCGCAGTACTTCTTTTGCTGTCTAGTATTCTTGATTTGTCTACCATAGTTGCTTTATTAGCAGCATCAAGTATATAGTCTGATCATTCAGCATTTCTTTTGGCTTTAATAATCAGGTTTATGAAAAAAAAACATCATACTTGCATACTTCATACTCGTTTGTATTCTTGTCCAATTTCGCAATATGGCATAATGCAGTTATTGAAGCTACTGAGCATGGTAAAAATTAAGAACAATTATTTAAGATATTGCAAGTTCTGGCAAGTAAAGAATTTTCAGAGTCATGCCACAAATAGGCTATGTATTGATTATTGACAATCTGTGAGATGCCATAACAAGTAAAAATTTAAAAAACTAATAAACAGGCTTAAAATTAATAAATACAAATGTATTCTGACAGTTTGAGTTAATTATACTTTCTATTTGCAAAATTTCCTTGACCTTAATACAAAATAAGAAAAAAGTGAACTTTTAAGAAATTTGTGGGATTTCTCAGGATGAGAAGAATTTCCCAGGTTAAAAAAACAGCCAGGATCCCATTAGAGAAACCCTACTTACATAGTTAGATCTGATATCATAAAGAAACTGGCTAATTATTATTCCTCTGTCACTAATTCTATTGTCATTTAACTGATTTTATTAGACCAATATGCATAATTGTTAATATTCAAGTAAATAGACTATAGCTTTTCTCATCTTTAATATAAAAGATGATGTTAGATATACTAGTTGTTGAGATATTGAAAAGAAATAAACAATAGTGGTTTAATATATGATACAATTGAAAAGTTTATGAACAGAAGCAATGGCATGCCATGACATTTGATGGTAGGGAAGCTGTGTTTCTGTAAGAAGCCGACTTCCAGGGGCAATCAGTTAATTGTGTGTCAGTGATGTCTAATGTCCATTCATATCATTTGTTCGATAAGCCAGTAAAAACTGTAGACGTCTCTAAATATATTTTTAATATCACAATTAGATTCTGAATCGCTAGCCACAATATAAGGGCTAAAATCTATATATATATATATATATATATAAATGGACATGCATGTCCCTATATTTCACTTTTCTGCCAAAATTACACATCGCACGTGAATGGTGTTTGTATGTGGTAGTAGCCCCAAGTCTCCATTCGTGCACCAGGGGGTAGCGTCTCGATAGCTATAAGGGTGCGGGAGATATGGGGTTGAAAGTGGCTTTCTATTTTGAATGTTTTGTTCGAACAAATTCGAACATAAAATTCGAATATTGGTTTGATTATAGAATGATTGTAAACGTTCCAGAAACGTTGAAAATAGTTCGTTTGACTTGATGTGAACAGGAGACGTTTAGAAATAGAATCGGGACCAGGTCTCTAACTAGTCTGGAAACAGGGGACCCAATTCTTGCATTCTGTGAAGACGGGTAAGATTGGCTATAATGTAATTATCTTAATCTTCACTATCGTTACTTTTTAAAAACCCAGCGAAGCGGGTCCTTGCAGCTAGATTCTAGATTACTTAGAAAAACAGTCTTTTATATATAAAAAAAACTATATTACATACAAATGTACGAACAAATAAAAACCCAGCAAAGCGGGTCCTTGCAGCTAGTTAAAAATAAAATTATAAGAACTTACTTGGTGAAATAAAATGTATGGTGGATGTACAGTACATACCTGGTACAAAATATTCTTGAATTGTATGAATATACTTTTAAAGAAAATTATAATTAAATATAGCTTTGTAAAGAAAAGTACATAAAAATTACATGAAATATTCTTTATTTTTTAAATCTTAAAACAATTCACTTAGTCAAATAGCTCCCTACAAGTGGGTAATGGATGGAATCAGAGATGGTTGCAGTGCGTGCATACACACAAACTGCCAAATCCTCAGGGTGCTGATACTGGTCAATGTCAAATACCTCTTTTGTCACATCACTATTATCTCTAAGGATGCAACAGGTAGATTTTAAACATAATTGTAAAAATCTAAATATGTTAAACTTAATAGTCATTTGTTTTCTAAGTAATTAATATGTATTTATTTTTTAGAAAATACAAGGGAAGCGGAACTTCCACTGCTTCCAATGACGGCACACCACTGGACAAAAGCTATAAACAAAAATTAAAAATAGTTTTACTAGTTCTTTTTCCTCTTGCTTAAAATGTTTTGTTTGAATTGCTATGTATTAATTTAAGCAACGTTTTTATTTGAAAGAAAGCAAAAATTCTTGAAGTTCTTTTTAATATTTGAAGTACTACAGGAATTTTATTTTTTTAAAGTAATCTCAATAGTGTCAATTCTAATGTATTAATTAATTTTTCAAAGTAAATGGTATAATGCTAAATCTTATAAATAAAAAGAGTAGTAAAATTAATGTAATATTCTGTCAATAATTGTTATATAATATACTGAGAATACAACAGATAAGAAATGCCCTGTAAAACCTTGATAAAACACTAACCAATGATGTTTCTTGCAAATATAATTTTCAATCCTATTTAATTTCAAATACTTTAGTATCCATTTTTGTAAGAAAATTCAAAATAACTTCCTTTCTTTAGTCTTTTGCTTGTTTCTCTCATCATAAAAGTTGGTGAAATAGAAACATACATTTGCACTAATGTTATACAATTAATTATATTGCATTAGATTTAGATTTGAGTAAGCTTTTGTATAAGTTGATCATAATGCATTAGATTTAATTAGGGATATAAATAATAACTTCCGTATGACTGGAAAAAGTTATAATAAAATAACATTTTTTGTTTGATATATTTTTATATATTGTAAAAATATGAGCATGAAATTTACAGTAATTTATGAAATTTTAAGTAATTTTTAAGCATTTTGGATGTAATATTTTTCCTATAGCTCTATACTATTAACTTAAGTCAGGTGTTTTCAACTTTTTTCTTCCATTGATCTCCATATAGAAACTTTTCAATCAACCAACCTCTTTAAAATTTTTATTTCCCAAAATTTTTCATAATACCTTGCATATGAAGCAAATTAATAAATCAGTTAATGAATTTTTCACATGATTGATGATGATGATTGAAAATTATCTGAAATTCACGAAAAAATAAGTCTGTGTTTTTTTTATCAACCCTCCATTGACCACCATGGTGTCTATGTTGACCTTGTTAAGTTTATAGTCTCTTAAAATTGATATATTTAAGATATTATATAGTTAATTAAGTATAATTTTTTCTATATAACTTTATATCTTTTAACTTTTTTTTTCTTTTAGAATTACAAGCAGTCATCAATTATTTGTGCAAAAATTTGGGTCCAGATTGGAAAAAGCTTGCTCGTGCTTTGAGAATTCCTGAATCTAGAATACAATCAATCGTGCACGACCACATCAGACAGGTAGAAGAACAAGCATATCAAATGATGATGCTCTGGAGAACAACTAATGAAAATCCAACTGTGGATAAATTGCTAACTGCTTTAAAAAGTCCAATATGTGAGAAAATGTCATTAGTTAGAGATATAAAAACAGGAAAACATTTACAGTTCTAAAGGTTACAACTATATTAATTTATAATTACATATATTTTATATAAATAATTTTATGAATTTTTTCAATGTAATGTACAGTAATAGAATATAGAAATTTTATAAGTGGAAAAATTATTTTTTTGCAATGCAATGTATATTAATACTATGTACCAATTTTATTTAGAAATGAAAGATGCAACAGAATATTCATACCTTAACATTAAAATATATGAAATAATTTAGATACAGTAGAGCGTCGTTTATCAGAAAATCGGTTATCCTAAACGTCTGTTATCCGAAGGAATTCCAGTTGACAAATTTAAATTTTTGCCAGTGCTGTGGCGCTGTAATCTTTGGCTATGTCTTGGGCTACTCAAATATTTTACGTTTTTGATACTAAATTAACTTCTGAAGTATAATTTTTTATTTTTTTTATATTTTTCAATATATTTATTTTGTTTGTACAAAATAAAAAAATAATTTTTAACAATACAATAGTCTTCGTCAGGCTTAACATAAACGAAAATTCAATGCGAAGCGACACGCAACAAAGAAAAATTTCAACATGGGATAAATTAATATATTTTTTCGTACATAATCGGTTATCCGAAAAATAAGTTATCCGAACAACCCCAGTCCCCAATTGATTCGGATAAATGATGCTCTACTGTATATGTATTTATAAACTGTAATAAAGCATTGATAATAGTAACTATTTTTCTATTTTTACTAGAAGTTATTTCATTAGTTCTAAAGTGTGTGTGTGTGTACACTTAATGATCAAAATTTAATTAAACTTGTAGTTTGATATATTCCTTTGTACGAAGTCTCAGTCCTCTTGACGTCTGTCAGAAGACCAGAAATTTTCTCAAGTAAATAATTTTTATTTATAAGAATCTTTATCTGAAAGAATTTAGGTTTTTTCCTCCTGTGCTTTTCTCATTTTTATAATAAGTTTAATTTAAGTTTAAGATATATTCTTAATATTTCTTTTTTGAACTTAATTAATTTGGATTGAAAATTTTATTTTCTAAAAATTTCATGTCATGAGAAAAATAACATAACAATACATCCAATTTACTTTCATTTAGTACATTTGAAAAAAAATCTACATACTAAAGAGAGGTTTCATTAATTATCAAAAGATAGATGTAAATTATCATATAAAATAACAATTTTTCAAGATTTTTAATATTAAATGATGTGCTTGGATAATTTTACAATTATAAAAATTGTTGGATATGTGGCAAATGTTAAATCAGAATTTTATTTTAAAAAAATTCAGACCAAAATTGAATAAATATTTTAAAATGAGTTTTTATACAATATGTACAATGAATAGATATTTAGTTCAGTGTCAATAAACAATAGAAATTAAATGGAAAGTGAGCTTTTTCAAATTTTGCTAATTTATTACAAAGTCCAATCTTGACAAAGTTCTATTTGTCAAGATAACTCATAGTATCCTTTTATTATTAGGGAAAAAAATAAAGAATAAAGGAATATTTGAATCTCAGATAGCTGCTTGAATTGTAGCAATATTTACAATCAATTTGTAATTACTTCTGGGGAGGGGAAAAAATGTTCTACAATGAAGTTTTCAATATCACATTTGATACAGATAAAGGTACTTTGTAATGGGCTTATTCAAACTTTTGAGGAATACAATGGAATTGTTTTCTGTTTCCACCAATTATTAAGACTTGCAAAATTTTATTGAAAAACAATTTTATTTCATCTACTATTTGCATTACGTATTAAGGTCTTCTGTGTGGGCCTCTTCAGATATATTGCTGACATAATTTCTGTAAAGTATATTTAATTCAAATATACTTTATTACACATACCTAGTAAATTATTACAATGAAAGGGTTATCAAACACATGAAACTATTAATGCTTTATATATATATCCTAAAATGCATTTCAGCCCCTGGTGCTAATCCTCATCAGTTAGATGAACATCTTTTAAATATAAGGCAAAAATTTTTCTTACAAGACTCATATTTAAATCAATAAAACTCTACATACTCTATTTACTAACCATCAAAATGTTCAAATCATGAACATTTGTCTACATATGTATAATAAAGTACATTTGTATTAAATATCTTAAAAAAAGGATTAAAGGCTAATTGTTAAATATTCTGTAAAGCATATATAAAGTCCTAACAATTTCATTTTGATAACTGAAAACATCTAGTATCCACTGCTAAGCAGTACTAAGCAAAGTTTGTGTATTACATAGACAAACTTTTTACATGGAAGTCAATGATTCTAAAGAAAAATTTTTAAATGCTTTTATAATGTAACTTTTAGAGTTTTTATTGTAATATGATTTTTACAGTAATTTCGTCAGTATATATATATATATATATATACTGACTACACAGTTTAGAATAAAAGTCTACAAGTTTACTAAAACTACTATGTCCTTACTATTTTACATTTTTATATATACAGTATATATAGGGGGCCACATAGATGGTTGAAATGTCATGAATTATAGATGATATTGTTTTAAATTAAATCTATTGTTAATTTGTTTGGATTACATTTTTTCAGACAGGACTTCATGAAAAAGGATTGTTCTATTGAATTGTTCATTTCAATGGATTGTTTTATTGAATTGAAGATATGAAAATGTCTTCAATTCAATAAAACAATGCTTTTAATGCCACAGATTTTTATATTCCTCTATGTCATTACTGTTTTAGATAAAAATGAACACTATAAACACCTAAGATACCAGTATCTAATAATAACCAGTTGTTAAGTAGCAGTTGTAAGATTACTGTTTTACTTTTTGTTTCTATATTGTCTACTTGGACCTTAATATACTGGTGTAGTTCCTGGTTAGCAAAGAGAGGAAATCTTAGTCAAAAGTCAAGACAAAATATCTTATAAACAAAAATTCTAAACATCCAGGACATAATATAATTATAAAAATACATTGTAAAAATGACTTCACTATGTGGATCATGTTCCTGTGAAGTTGAAAGAGGAGGAAAAATTCATATTCACATTGTCTGTAATACTTTGTATTTTTACAATGTATTTTTATAACAAAATATCTTTATTTTCACCTGTTGCATTTCTTGTAAGATTTTCCCTGCTGTTTACATCTTCCACTTCACCAGAATTTCAGCTGTAGATTGTTTAAAATTAAATATTAATTATTTTTATCTTTATGTCCGTACTGTTTTACTTTTTTGCATTAATAAGTCCTATTAATAAACAAGGTCCCAAGTAGACAATAATAGAAACAAAAAAAATGTAAAATAGTAAGGACATAGTAGTTTTAGTAGACTTGTAGACTTTTATTCTAAACTGTGTAGATAGGAATTTTGTCTGTCTGGCCTTTAAGTCTTTTGAGCAATTCCTATACTGTTCTGCAGGCTATGGCACTTGGCTCCTGGGCCTATTAGCTTTACCTATATGTGGCAAAAAAATGTAGGAATACTTTAAATAATAATTAAACTGTTTCTATTGGATATGTTATATTCCACATATGAATCCACATACACAAATATATTTTGTATATTACATACAAAAAAGATTACTAGTTAATTTTAAGTTCATGAACTATGAGCTATGAAAACATGTTTTCTGTGCTTTTTTGATAAAGACATCTCTTCAAATACTGTCTCTGGATAGTTTTGTGCATTTGTATTTACTTAGTCAACCTGCTATCAGACTTGCACCCCTATGTGATCCCATTGAATATGTTGTGCCCTTCCAGTTACAGAAGATTCACACTTTGACTTAACCAAACTTATAGGCATGTCAACAGATCTTGCATCCAAAAGGTGGAGAGAGTTACAGATGCCTGGGTCCTCCTAAAACAAACGTTTTTACACAATTATTTAATTGCCTCTTGTCATAAAGAAAGTCAATCGAAGCTAATAAATTTTTGAAAAATTGTACATTGATTGTCCAAAAATTCTCCTTATATAAACTTACCATGTCAGATTTCGTTTCTTAGTCTTTATCCCATTCTGAAATATTAAACGAAATAAACGCCAACACGTGCGCGCATATCCATGAAAGTTTTTGACTTGGGTTCAGGAAGACTGAAAACGTCAAGATTTTCAAAATACCTGGCGATGACCCTAACTTATAATCTCTCGTGGGTAAAGCATGAGATGCTCTACATCTACCTGTATTTTGTTATTATTGATGTATCTAAGTCTCATGGATAAGAAAACAATTCGTTACTCAACACATCCTTTTTTTTTAACTCTTTCCGTCCTGTGAGCACTAAGAGAGCCTCTTTTTGCAAGCCCATTATGGGTTCGGCTAGGCCTACAATGGGGCTGCCGAGTGGTGAGGGACGGGGCCCGAAAAATTCCTGGGGATTTTTCGACCCGTTCGGGATCGAACCCGGGTCCCCAGAGCTGTAGGCTGCCACCTTGACCGCTCGGCCATCCGGCCAACTCAACACATCCTAGACGCGCTTAGAGTATTCGCTTATCGCCTTGAGAAATCGCAGAATTTTAAATTATGGGATAGAACGTGATCCAAACGATGTAAATTATAGTATACAGATTGTTTCCATTAAATCGAACGTAGTCCTTACGCATTTGTTAGGATAAAACAAAATCGTGCTCCCCATACCATAACATCCATACATACAGGGGGGGAAACCCGTATTTTTTGCATTTCTCGACGTTTCAAGGTGTTCTGAGTCGAAAAATCTGGGAGGATCATTTTTTGACCAATCGCCAGACTTTCCGTCTGTTATATATAATAATAGAGCCAGAAAAGTAAAAATTAGAATTTTATGACCGTTTTCGATATATGGAGCTATAAAGTGACAGCGTCCGAGCTCTCATACGACTGAGCCTGCCTAACGGAATATAGGCCTAGGGATCAAATGAAAACAGCATTGTGTGCGTCTAATAGAAAGTAGGCGCGAAAAACGAACAAAACACAAAAACAAATCAATTGGCATCGACTGCTTTGTTTTTGGATCCCCTCTCCGTGTCGGCAACTACAAGGATCGCCTCTTTTGTGGCGTCAAGTGCAAAGTTCACCTGTCCGCGTCTATCAGGTACTAGGATCGCGTCTTCTATGTCCAACAGGTGCAGGGTCTCTTTCCGGCTCAGCCTCAATTGTATCGCGATACGACAAAGTCGCGCGATGTCCTAGTTGTGGCCATAGAGACGAGAGTAAAAAATAATAATTTTTTTTTTAAACTTCAAATGTATATTAACTATCGATTACATACTATTATTATCATTTATATTTTCAATGATAAAAATAATTAGTCAACATTCATTCAAAATCATAATTATTGTAACTTTTCGTGTCTGCCCAGTTTGTCCAAGTGAATCCGTGAAGAGCAGGATCAGCATTCGGATCGATAGTTTGATTAACCGGAGGAACTTCGCTTTTTTTCCAAAAGTTCAATCGCTTCAGCATATATTCCACAACCTAAAGATAAACATTTAAGTTGATGTAAAAATATTTAAATAAATTATTTCATCTGTATAATCTATATATATAAAAATCAATTCTTGTTGGTTTATCCTTTATACAAATCTTTATTCTTAAATTGATCTGGACCAAAGTTAATATGAGTATGATTTAGATCCCAAAATCGACCCTAAGCTATATCGTCTTGGTGATGGCAAATTCACTGACGATCCGGATACTAATTTGATAACATTTACTATTTAAACCACAATTGGATATACGACAGAGCAATATTGGCTTCTAAAATCAAATGTGTTGCTGAATGTATCCGGTTCAGTTTTTAAATTCCTTGGGACCGGCTGGTCTACCACTACAAGAGGTTTCAAATCAACATCACAGTGACGTCATGAGCATGCACGATTGTCCGGCGCTATCTTTGGCTTTTTTACGTTGTGTTTATGCGCACTTTAGCTGGAGTTATTGCGTTGTTTATTCATCGCGAATATCACTATGGTGAACTGTTGTGTAATGCTATTTCACTCAAGAATAAAGGAACGTCATTTTTTAAAATTCCTGGGATTATTTGCCATCAAGGACCCCAAACTGAGGACTTTTCACGATGAAGGCTCTCGAGAATTAACCAGAAAAATTTCAATACGGATAAAGTGAATATCGATACAAGAGTTTGTAATTTCATTTCAGGTAAGCAATAAATGTGATTATGTAATTAATTATTTATTGATATATAGTAAACTTTTGCATGAGTATCATAAAACGTTTACAAGCTAGTTGCATAAATCCCTTTGTTAATGCCGACAAAATAAAGTTAAATAATTTTAACAACTGCAGATTTTAGTTTGAATAGATAATGATTGTGTTCTAACTTTAAAAAAAAACTGAAAGGTGAAAAATAGTCTATTTTTAATATATATATATACAATAAAGTTAATATTAAAGTGTTAAGCAAAGTTAATCGCTTAGCAGATGAAGAATTAGAAATGAATTTTGAACCAATTGTCCTTCCAGTCTAATTTACATGAATAAAAGCGCGTGTATTTTTTGAGATATAATACAATAATTTCCATTGTTCATTTACAAATAGCTAAGTTAGGTTATTTTGGTGAGCAACATTAACATTTCTTTAAGATGTTACACTTTACAATTTTTTTTTTTACGTTAGTAACAAATGATCATTACATAGTAATCTTCAAGTTGTTCCTGACAAATATATAAATAATAAATATGAATAACATACATAATAATGAGTTTTTTTTTTTTAAATAATAGTATAATATCGAAGAAGTTATTTTTACCCCAAAGGAAAACATTCTTCATTTTATGATGAGTCATTACCAGAATGGGTACAAGCCAACTGTAAATCAGGAGCGTTATGAAAGAGCACGTAATCAGGAGAAAAACAGCCACTTGTAAGATAGTTATGGGCCTCTAAAGATTTATAAGCTTTCTTTGTGAAAGAGAGTAGTAATTTGTCGTCAAAATCAAATAGTTTGTTTCCACCAAATTCTACTTTAGGCCGCAACTCTTGATCTACAACGAAGATGCTGGCTTCGTATGGATCGACACCCTGACATAATGAAACTTTCTCTTCATATAAAGCGGCATCTGTCCTGTCAGACTGAAAATAACCCGCCAGAAAAGCATCTTTTTTAACTTCGTCCATCATATTAAAAATATTCAGTTCTGTTAATTTAAATTGAAAAACAAACTGTCAAATAAGAAACCACGTGCAAGCTAAGCAAGTGGAAGCTAAACCACAAACATGGCGAAGGGGCGTTTTATAAAGTAAATGCGACCTCGAAACTAAGCAACTGAGAAATTAGAATAGAGATTCGGCTAAAAATTAAGATTTTGTGCATAGGTTTATCGGTGACATATAATAAACTATCCATACCGTATTTCTGTGGATCTTATTACGTAGAATCGTGTGTCGTTCAGAAACTCGAAGACGTTTAAATGAATGGTTAAATAAGCAACTGAGAAATTATTTCTCGAATGGTTGATCCGTACTCCTGTGTTTAGTAAGGATTTTTTGAAATTGAGATACTTTGCGTCGTTCTCTGTTTTTCGGTCTATTTTTTACTTTTTTTTTTGTTTTTAATCACAAACGCTATTATTTATGAAAAATTTATAAAATATAACAAAGATTATATTATAATATTAAATTAATAAAATTATAACAAAGATTATTAATCTCGCCATCCCATTATGGGCTTGTCGGAGTGTAGAGAAAATAACTTCTTAATGTGCAGGAGTGGAAAGTTTTTTAAATATCAGTTACTTCAACTATTACTTTTGTGAATTTTAAAATAATTTTTCTTACCTTTGGTTGTAAATTTGCAATATTTTCTAGTTCGCAAGGATCTTCTAATATATCAAATAAACATGGTGCTAAATTAGGATCACAATTACTGTTGTTCCTTTTCTGGTAAGAAAAACAACTATCTTGCAATCCGACGAAAAACGTGTCAGTGTTATAGAGTAATCCTTCCTTTTCAAGAACTTTCCAAGAATATGAGGAGCGAAGTAACTTTTTGTAACAGGAAGAAAAATAATTTTTGTCTCTCCCGGTAGGTCCATACCATGCATTGTATTTTCCATCAAGATTCGATCCATTTACCAGTTTATAATTTTGGAATCGAAGAGCCGAAGCACCATCGATTGGATCGATATTATGAAGAATTTCTTTCCGAGATGTCGGTTTGCCATGAACTAAAGTCTCCCATTGATTTATTCCATAAATATCCTTTAAGTCTTTAACGTTACAACCTTAAATAAAAAGTAAAGCTTAATTAAAATGTTGATAGGGACAGATGATTTCGCACCGATAATTTTGTATAAACGGTCGTATTCATTTTGCAATAACTCTTCTCTACACAACATTCCATTAAGAAAAATCTATTGGAATTGCTTTAGTCTAAAGAAAATCCCTTATGACACTTTTTTGTTTTTATACTGGCCACGTAGATCTTGTTTATAGGACTTATTATACAGGTGTAGTTTCAAATTAGCAAAGGGAGGAAGTCTTAGTCAAAAATAAATCAAAAATATTTTTATTTTCACCTGTACACTCTGTGAGTTTCGGACCCGTAGGCTTTTTGACTAATACTTCCTCTCTTCGAAACTACACCAGTATAATAAGTCTTATAAATAATAATATAAAAACAAAATTGAAATATTAAGTACATTGAGGCACAAAGGATTCATAATTATGAATTTATTCTAAATTATAAAATAATGACTAACAATACACTCAGGAGTCTGCTACTAACACGAGGCATCGCCAAACTCTTCCCGCTACTTTTCGTGAGTCATCGAATCGTTTGATCTAATACAGGATACAGTATTAGATAAATAATAATAAGTAACTCAGAATACCTGCAGCATGATAAAGTGTCGGAAGCCAATCAGTTATGTGCATTAAGTTCCTTTCAATCCTCGGTTGTTGCTTGAACGATTTACTCCATACAATTCCAACTCCTCTCACTCCTCCTTCCCATAAAGTTCCTTTATTCCCTCTTAAAGGCCAATTTGAACCAACTCCGCCTCTAAAACCAGCACCTTCTGCACCGTTATCCGTAGAAAGCACAAAAATAGTATTATCTAACATAGAATTATCTTGTAAGGCCTTAAAGATTCGTCCAACTGATTTATCGAATTCTGAAACTATCGCTAAAATAAAAGTCGTCAATACAAATTTTTAAAAATCCGTTATATATCAATAGTTAAATTCTTTTAACTTAATTTCCTAAATAACATTTCCTTTTCAATTTAATATATTTACCAGCAAACTTTCTTCTTTGTGTGTCCTCTATACATGAAAATTTTGAGACTTCACTTTGTGGTGCTGGAAATAGATCATATGGATTTCCACTGTGCACAGCATTAGGTGTTAGATACAGAAATAACGGCTGAAAGTGTATACATTTATATTACGCATTTAATAACTTAAAATATATGTCTACAACCAACGAGCTAGAATATACTACATAGAGTGGCTGTGAACATAGTTACAGTGCTCTTGGTGATAACGACAGGTACTATTGACCGCCATCTTACTTTAAGTCAAAACATTGAAGTTTAGTGTGGGGCAGAATTGTAACTTTAGATATTAGATGAGATATAAATTTCATCTAATAAGTGATATAAATCTCATCTAATAAGTTATATAAATCTAGATTGTTTCATCTCGAATTTAGCTATTTTTAAATTTTATTTAATTATTATAAAGGAAGTAAGATCAGAGTTTAAAGTGTTAAGTGTAGTACTTAACCCTCAATATAACAATATTTTTATAATTAAGTACGAACCAGGTCTTGAAGGACTTTACTCTCAGCCATATGATTGTTTATTTATAATGTACTCAGCTCAATCTGATCCCTACCATACTCAGTAAGTTGTTGATTTTAAAGGAAAATGGCGGACTGTATTCCATTTTCTTCAAGATGGCGTCGCTACAGTCACTCTATGTAGTATATTCTAGCTCGTTGCCTACAACTGAAAAACCTTTTCTTTATCGTGTGTTTTAATAATATTGATTGCTCGATCTGTAAATAAATGAGTTGCATAAATTCCTTTATATTCTCTGGCTACTCTTTCGTTATCTCTTAACGCATCTCCCCAGGCATACTAAAACAAAATGAAAACAAAATACAGTTAAGTTGATAACAATCTCATCTTTATAATAATATATTTAGATTTGTAGATGTGGAATTATACTTGATAAGAATTACTTTTAAAGTAGAATTTTCATAACTTTCATACGTAGTGTAGTCGTAATAATCCATTAGTCCTGTCCAAAATCCAAAAAATGAATCGAATCCTCGTTCTGTTGGAAAATATTCTTTCTTGAAAAACCCCAAATGCCACTGAAATGTAATTTTCGTATATATATAATCAGTTTATGAAATATAAATATAGGGTAATTAAAATTAAAGTTCCCCTACTTACAGTTAGACCTGTATAGAGTCCGTTCTCGTTGACGTATTTTGATGAAACATGGTATATACGTTATATGGACCATGGGGAAAAGGAAATGCAAAAAAATTAGTTTAAATTTCTACCACTATATGAAAAAATGGTGCATGAAGAACAAGAAATACAAAATGGAAACACAAAGTTTTTATTCACAACATTTGTTCAATGTGCAATCCATATGCGTCACTCGCGTGTTCAAAACGCCTCACAGCATGCTCAACAGTAGTCCGATAGAAAGCTGAGCGGTCAAGGTGGCAGTCTACCGCTCTGGAGGACTCGGATTCGAATCCGGACGGGTCGTTAAATCCCAGGAATTTTTCGGTGGGTAGTCTGTCCAGATATGTCTGGACCCCGTCCCTCACCACCCGGCCACCCCATTGTGGACCTGGCCAAACCCGTAATGGGCCTGCTATAAGAGGCCCTCTTAGTGTCCACAGAGTGGAAAGAGTTAAAAAAAAAGTAGTCCGATAGCAGGCGTGTTATGATTGTTTTCAATTCAGGTAGAGTCTGTGTGCTTCCTCTATAAGCACAATCTTTCATATATCCCAACAATCAAAAGTCACAGAGATTCATGTCTTGGGAATGAGGAGGCTAGGCATTGAGAAAACTCGAAATTACCCGATGGTCTCCAAATATGTCATGAAGCAGTTCGTTCACTTGTCAGGTAATATGTGGTGTTGCCCCATCTTACATTAAGACAGTAGTCTCTAAATATCCTCATTCTTGTAAAGCAGGAATGGCGTGATGCAGCAGAAGTATGCAGTAACTGGAACCCGTCCCAGAACACTTTTTAGGGCCTTCTGGTGTGATCTCAAAGAAAATGGGGGCCAAGAATGAAGTCAGAAGTGAAATCACACCAAACGGTCATGTAAGTAGAGTGCAGAGGCTGTTTATGCACATCATCAGGTCTTACAGTATCCCATATGCGACAGTTCTTAGTATTCAGTGCTCCGTCTAGGGTGAAATGCGCCTCGTCTGATCACAAAATATTCCATGGCCATGCATTGTCAACGGCTATTCTGGCCAAAAACTCTGCGTTGTTTTGGATCTTAAGGGTGCAGCTTTTGCAACATCTCGATCTTGTACGAATTCCACTGTAAATGGATCGAATAATTTTTCGAACTGTAGACCAAGGAAGAGACAAATCACATGACACCGCTCGAGCACTCACCGAAGAATGTTGGGAAGCGTTTGCTCTGTCAATCACAGCAACGGCGACTTGCTCCAGTTTTATTTGAAATCTTTTTCCGACCTTTACCGACCAACTCTCAAGTCTCTTCAAATTTGTTTAATCATCTTTCTCAAACCATACCCCGACACAGGCCTTATTCACAAGCCTTTCAAGTGTCGATATTATCGCAATGCAGCCGAACCATTACTGCCGTTTTGATAAAACAACTTTACCAGTAGAGCTCGATCTTTCTGTAAAGGCATGATAAAGAACGGCATCGACTACTGGCTTTTTATAAAGTTCCTAATTTCCATAATGTCTACTGCATACGCCATTTTTTCAGCTAGTGCTGGAAATTTGAACTAAATACTTTTTTGCATTTTCCTTTTCACCATGGTCCACATAACGTATATACCAAGTTTCATCAAAATATGTCAACGAGAATGAGCTTTATACAGGTCTGAGTAGAGCAACTTTAATTATAACCATCCTGTATCAATGATAGTTAATTTTTTAATATTTATTATTTTAATTATAAAAAATAAAATGAACACCTGTATATCGTATATTTGCGTAAAGCGATATTCAATTTGTGAGGTCGATCTTACCGCATTCTTGAAGAATTTGCGCGTGTCTGATAACCTGCGACTGGCTGAGCTAACACGATCTCACTTATTTGTACGAAAAAGAAAATAATGTGAAACATCGGAATGTTGTAGGCTAAATCTTGGTTGTATATTTGAAGTGGTAATTGGACTCATAAGGTCGCGATAAAAGAGTGAATTAATCAGAGAGACAGGTAAAAGAAACTGTTCCTAAAGGGCTAACTTTTGTAAATCATTGATGACAGGCTGAAGATCCAATTGAAGATCAGTTTCGTTCGAAGATGTACAAAATTGAAGTTTGTGAGAAAGCCCCTAAGAAGGAGGCCTAATGTAAATCCTCCAATAGACGCTTGGTCTCCTGTAAATGCCGGCTATTTAATTTAAACTGCTAAAATAGACGCCGGGTGTCGTTGAATTCCTTATTAAGAATGCTCTGTGCAATAGACATCCGGGTATCTATTAGTAAATATTCGGTAACTTAAAAAGAAAATTTTCGGACAAAAAGGTTCCAACAGTGCTGTTAATATATTAATAGAGTTCCAACTCTATTAATATAATGATTTTTCCAATCGTTCGATCCAGCCGCCGCCGTTATCTTTCGACTCAGGTTTCTTTCTCGTTCATTCTTTTACTTCCAACTCCTTTCCTACACTTGAACAACCTGGTTGTTCAAGTCTAGGAAGATACCTAAAACCGTTCAGTAAAATCTGGTCATAAAACCAGAAACTACTTTAAATTTAGTCCAGGTATAATTTTGTGATGATCTTATCTATTGATAGATGGTAGGTTATAGAAAGTGGATAGCTATGACTTGGATACTGATAATCTTTTTTATTTCTACTTTATCTAAAATAGCGCCCTACTGATAATTAGCTAAAAATGCCATAGGATCATTTTGGAAATGCGTGTCAATATTTATATTTTCGTTATAAATTTACAAGAATACTTTGTTTATTGGCTGACTAATTCAAAAAAAAAAAAAGTTTATGAAATTATAGATTTCGAATTTTGTCAAAAGTCGTTCCAACTTATTTATTACGGTTAATTATTAGATAGTATTGTTTGAAAGCAGAAACAAAATGCTATACATCATATTGTGACATTATTTTATTGCTATTGAATAATAATACTCTGTTTATAGATCTTTGCTGAATAACAAGTAAATAAGGGAAAAATCTATGAAATCATTTTCAATTTAAAATTAATAATTGAATGGCTGGGTGAAAAAAGTAGTAAGCCATACAAACAATATATATATATCTTATAATCGAGATTGGTTGATTATAATAGCCTAATAATCAACCAATAATAATAATAATAAGCGCAGAGCCCAAACGGTTAGGAGTTGAAAGTTGAAATTTGGTACACAGTTGGGGTACGTCATGTAACGTACTGTACATTAAAAAGGGATTTTTCGATATTTCGTCCCGTGGGGAGGGAGAGAAAGTTAAGGATTAACCTGAAGAACTCGGTTTCTAATTTACTATTTTAGATGCGGTTTTTTGCGTTTTTCGGAAAATCGAACATATTTTTTAGACTCATCTAAAATTCTCTAACTAGCCTCGGAAGAGGGGGAACGTAATTCTTGCACCGGGTGAAAACGGGTAAGATCGGCTATAAACTAATAATAATAATTTTTGCTATTATTACTTTTTGTTCGAGCAACGCCGGGCTCATCTGCTAGTACATATGTCATGTCATGTCTTACCACGACTTGTAAAGGGCGCGTTAAGCGCAGCGCCCGAAGGCGAGGCTGTCCGATATATAAGATGTGAAACCGAAGTCACCTGCCTCTTTTTGGCCCTGTTCTGTACTTGCAAAGATATACAGTATGTTAAATAAATGTGTAATGTGTTAAGCCTTGTATCCTTTTAGTTCTTCAGACACTATTCTTGAACTATTTCGTAAGATTCACGGGAATTTTACAACATATATATATATATAAATCACATTTAAACCGTTAAACAAATTCTAAAATTGATATTTTTAAACACATTAAATAGGTTTCGTATATTGAAAAAGACAGCTTATATATTTATATATACAGCAACGTGATACGTAAGTGATTTTCCGAAGAGGGGATGCCTCCCGGGGACTTTTTAAGTGAAACTAACTCCTATTTAAGTGTTACAAATGTGAAGAAAACCTGGAAAACTCCAAGTGGCCATCTCGTTGGCCAGGCGCCAACCCATAACAAACTACCAGTGTTCGGTGGTTTTATCCATTAGACCAGGGGTGGCCAACCTTTTGCATACCATGCGCCAATTTTTTGATAGACGAGTTCAGATGCGCAGTGGCGTACCGTGGGTGTTAGCCGCCCGGGGCGGAGAAAAATTTCGGCCACCCTTTAATCAGGTATTTCAATTTAAAAGATCAAAATTCAGTTGTGTGAAAAAAAAATTAATAAAAAATGCGGTGGTGGTGTAGTTACCCGTACAAAATAGTCCCATTTGACATTAGTGGCATACACGATTGCGAATGTATCGTGAATCGTAGAAGCAAAAAAAAAAAAA